TGGTAAGCCTAAATACACCTCTCCTACACCTCCCCTACCTTCCTCTTCTACCCCCCCCTCCTCTACACCTCTCTACCTCCCCACCTCCTCTACACCCCCTCCTCTACACGTCCTCTACACACCTCCTCTACACCCCTCCTACACCCCTCTCCCACCCCTCCCTACACCCCCTCTCCCCTCCCCCACCCCTCTCCCTACACCCTCTACACCCCTCCTCCACACCTCCCCTCCCTCACACTGCCCACCACACCTCCAAAATGTCACCCACAAGGAAAGATAAGGAAGAATTATTACTTGTGTTGTAATAATTACTATAATGAGAACTGGGGTGAAGGAGCCGCCACCTATCCTATCAGTCCCATAATTACTCTTGATAATTAACTATAATTAAATAGGGGAGTTGGATAGAGAAGGAAAGGTGTGGTGTGGTGTGGGGGAGGAGGAGGAGGAGGAGGTGGTGGTGGTGGTGGTGGTGGTGGTGGGGAGGAGGAGGGGAGAGTGAAGGAGAAGGGAAAGAAGAGGGATAGGGGCAACGGGGAGGTGGAGGGAAAAGGATAGGGAGGGGGAGGACGAGGGAGATGGAGAGAGTAAACAAAGGAGAGAAGAGAAAGAGAACTCTTAACTAGAAACACACACACACACACACACACACACACACACACACACACACACACACACACAGGCAGTGAAATAAAATAAAATAAAACTATATATATGTAAGGTAGTTCCTGCTGCCTATAAATTGTACGTTGACAAACAAGGCAGAATATGATAAGATTACAGCCCTCTTCACCCCCTCCTTGCCTAAAAATTCGCCTCTGTACCCCCTATAAAAATATACGCCCCCTTTATAAAAAAATATACCGCCCCCTTTATAAAAAATGTTAAAGTATCACCCTTACCATTACCATTACCTACCATGTTAAATAGCTAGGTAGTTAGGATGTTAAACTGTGAACATTATCCTTAAAATCAATTAAACACATAGTTATTATCGCTGAGATTATAAACATTCTCTTCAACATCACTCTTGGGTGTTATTATTCCTCACATTATGTAATATTTATCGTATTTAACATGACACTAAACATTAAAAATTCTCACCATCATCATTTGTTAAATCTGATCACCATTATTACGTCACGAGTTAAAATGTTTTCAAGTTATGGAAATGTTTGTATGTTAAATTCACCATTCAACATTTTTATACTTTAAGATATCCCGTAAGATAATAGTAACAAGAAGAGTGTTAATAATAATAATAATAATAATAATAATAATAATAATAATAATAATAATAATAATAATAATAATAATAATAATAATAATAATAATAATAATAATAATAATAATCATCTAACCTAAAAAAAAGTAAAAATTATCCCCCATAAATTCTCTTCCGCATAAAGGATAATTATTTTTTAGTGAAGAAAATCGGAGATGCAAATTTATTCTTAAAAATAAATCGACAGAAAGATTTTTTTCCGAGGGTAAACTGTAAACATCACGGCCACATTGCATCTCATTTTCCTCAAAAACAAAAGAATTATATATCAGAAAATTCCATAGATTGTCCGTAAAGGTGAAATTCATTGCATAAAGAAAATCTATTAAATTAGGTCATATTACGATTAGGGTTACACCGTCAAATAATCCGGCTTAGTTACAAGGTCAAATAATCCGGTTTAGTTACACGGTCAAATAATCCGGCTTAGTTACAAGGTCAAATAATCCGGCTTAATTACACGGTCAAATAATCCAGCTTAATTACACGGTCAAATAATCCGGCTTAGCTATACGGTCAAATAATCCGGCTTAATTACACGGTCAAATAATCCGGCTTAGCTACACGGTCAAATTATCCGGCTTAGTTACAGTCAAATAATCCGGTTTAGTTACACGGTCATATGGAGACGACTAGACAAGCAAAGGGCAGACCAAGATGTCATGTCAGTACAGTACAGCAGAGAGGTCTTACCGTGTGTTGTAAAGTCACTTGACAAATAATGAAGAGACCACAGGTGTGACTTGAGGTCTTAATCAACCAACCGTACCTGAGGAAGAAGAACAACATTAATAGTAAACAATGGAAACAATCTTAATACCCATAAACAAGTAACCAAAACAACTATTACCAAAACAACTAAAAAAAAAATAATTACCAAAACAACTAATTTTGAAGGTCGGTCTAAATTTCCTAAATAAACCACACACACACACACACACACACACACACATCACCTGAGTTACTACACAAAACAAACATAAGATTCACTTTATTCCTTTAATGTAAAATTGTCTGAAACATCACTAGACAAAAATGTTCACCTTCGACCAAAAAAATAAAAAACACGAGAAAAAAAAAAAACACCACTATATAAGGTTTAAGTTCTCAAAAGCCAACAGGTTATGGGGTAAAAAAAAATCAAATTTTTTTTATGATATAGAGAACTCAATAGTCTTTTAATCAACGTTTTTACCAGTGGAGGGGAAATGTATTAGGTGCCCGGAGGAGAGAAAGAGGGGAGGGGAAGAGGGGAGGGGGGAGAGGGAGGGGAGAGGGAGGGGAGAGGGAGGGGAGAGGAAGAGAAAGGGGAGGTGAAGCTACTTTTTCCCTTTGTATGTGTGTGTGTGTGAGAGAGAGAGAGAGTGAGAGAGAGAGAGAGAGAGAGACTCTAAGCCTATCTTCTGTCTCCCCCTCTAACCATCCCACACCATTAAGACTGTCCACCTGTCTCTCCGTCTGACTGTCTCTCTGTCTCTCAGGAGTGACTGGTGTATGGGGTGGAAAATCAAGTGTCATTTAGTTCACATCCCCGTAGAGATAAATTAAGTGGATGCAACTCAAGGGTCTATTTCGGTCCTTCCCTCTAGTGAGACACCACGTAATAAGAGACGCCACGTAATAAGAGACACCACGTAATAAGAGACACCACGTAATAAGAGACGCCACGTAATAAGAGACGCCACGTAATAAGAGACACCACGTAATAAGAGACACCACGTAATAAGAGACGCTACGTAATAAGAGACGCCACGTAATAAGAGACGCCACCTAATAAGAGACGCTACGCAATAAGAGACGCCACGTAATAAGAGACACCACGTAATAAGAGACGCCACGTAATAAGAGACGTGACGTATTGAGACACACCACGTACTGACTTCCTTCACTTGATGAGAGATATCACGTACACAGATACATTACGTACAAGGAGGTATACAAGTACAGCGAGTCATCACGGACCGAGAGATGTTACGCACTGAGAGACATTCACGTACAGCGAGTTATTACGGACTATTGTTACTGCCTCGCGTACTGTGCTGTTATTACTGAAGCTGTTATGTCTATTAAATTCCCAATCCGTTTGCTGTTACTGCAGTCTGTGTCTCTGTTGGTCCGAGTCTATCTGCTTTTACTGCTGTTTCGGCCGCAGCTGTTGGATGCTGCACACGTTTCTACCCCAGCGCTGTCGTTTCCCATCGACACCGTCACCGCACCTGATACCCTGCTAACTTGTCCGACCACAGGGATTCCAGCCTTCCCCGCCTTCTCTTCTCCTCCCACTTCACCTGCTCTTCCTCCACTCTCGTTCTCCACACCTCACCCCACTCACCCCACTCACTACTCTACCCAATTACTTGCTCCTTTTCCTTCCCCCTCTTCGTCCCTCTCCTTACCCCTCTCTCATCCAGCCTCGCCTCCTCCTTCCTCGCCCCTTCCCTTCCCTCTACTACTCCTCCTGCTTCCTCTCCTTCCTGACTTCCTCCCTCTCGACCCTTCCTCCTCCACACTCCCTCTAAACTAGCATTTTATCGCAGCTGGTTGAGGAAAGAGGAAAAACACCACTTGTAATTGAGTTCCTTGGCCAGACTCGGGATTCTCAAAGGTTCCTTCCTTCTTTACGTGTTTTTACCTCCACCACGTAACTGATACTATAATTGGATTCTGAAAGTTAAGTATAATGATATAAATGTTTCCTCAGCGGGCATATTAAGATTACCACAAAGATAAATTACCCAAGGTTCATATATTACGTTCTTCCTCTAAGTGGTAGTATGATAAATGGTTTACGGGGGTGGATGAATTCTCAGTGGATCGTAATGTAATTTTTTTTTCTCTAAATGAATATGTGAAAAAGTATTAGGATGGGTTGTCAATAGGTCGTAAAGTACTATGGAATTGACAGAAACACAAAGACAGATTCTCAGAGGATTTAACACCTCCCCCAGCAGGAGATGTGAGAGAGGAGCCAACTATTAGAGTTTCTGATACGTTTCGTGAATTAAATTTTCTTTCTAACTGGAGATGTGAGGACGTATCTAACCGGTCCATATATGACACGACACAGAGAGATACATTTTCAAAGGTTTATATCTAAAAAAAAATGTTTACCTCCAAGCTGGTGATATGAGAACGTATCTTAATTCACACACACACACACACACACACACACACACACACACACACACACACACACACACACAAAGAACGATTCTCAAAGGGTCCTCATGTTAAATATCACTCCCTCTCCCGTCTCCCTAATTGGTGATATGAGAACGCACCTAATTGGCTCCTACAAACCATAACTCAAAACAGGGCATCAGAAATTACTGTCAAAACTGTACCAAGATTTCCGTAACTTAAATCGTTTTATTTTTGTTTGTCGTATCTTCAGGGTGGAATAAGCGTACGAGTGTGTGTACGAGTGTGTGTGTGTGTGTGTGTGTGTGCAGGGTGGATAATGGACAAAGCAAGAGGCAGTGGACAGCAGCTTGAAATGGAAATAAAGGCTGTGAGAAATGGTTGAAAGAAACAGGTGTTTGTAATTAAAGGTGACATCGGGAAGAGAGAGAGAGAGAGAGAGAGAGAGTTAGTTTATACTTTATCCTTTCCACCAAACAGACGAACATCGAAGCAGACGAACATCGAAGCAGACGAACATCGAGGGCAGACGAACATCGAAGCAGACGAATCGAAGAGACGAACATCGAGGCAGATGAACATCGAAGCAGACGAACATCAACAGACGAACATCGAAGCAGAGACGAACTATCGAAGCAGACGAACATCGAAGCAGACGAACATCGAGGCAGACGAACATCGAAGCAGACGAACATCGAGGCAGACGAACATCGAAGCAGACGAACATCGAGGCAGACGAACATCGAAGCAGACGAACATCAGCGAAGCAGAAGCAGACGAACATCGAAGCAGACGAACATCGAGGGAAACAGACGAACATCGAACATCAAGGCAGACGAACATCGAGGCAGACGAACATCGAAGCAGACGAACATCAGGGCAGACGAACAAGCAGACGAACATATCGAAGCAGACGAACATCGGAAGCAGACGAACATCGAAGCAGACGAACATCGAGGCAGACGAACATCGAGGCAGACGAACATCGAAGCAGACGAACATCGAAGCAGACGAACATCGAGGCAGACGAACATCGAAGCAGACGAACATCGAAGCAGACGAACATCGAGGCAGACGAACATCGAAGAAAGTGAACATTGAAGAGACGAACATCGAAGCAGACGAACATCGAAGCAGACGAACATCGAGGCAGACGAACATCGAAGCAGACAAACATCGAGGCAGACGACATCGAGGCAGACGAACATCGGCAGACGAACATCGAGGCAGACGAACATCGAGGCAGACGAACATCGAAGCAGGCGAACATCGAAGCAGACGAACATCGAAGCAGACGAACATCGAACAGACGAGCATCGAGGCAGACGAACATCGAAGCAGACGAACATCGAAGCAGGTGAACATCGAAGCAGACGAACATCGAAGCAGACGAACATCGAAAAGACGAACATCGAAGCAGGCGAACATTGAAGCAGGCGAACATCGCAGACGAACATCGATCGCACGAACGAAGACATCGAAGCAGACGAACATCGAAGCAGACGAACATCGAAGAAGCGAAGAGACGAACATCGAAGCAGACGAACATCGAAGCAGGCGAACATTGAAGCAGGCGAACATTGAAGAGGCGAACATTAAAGCAGACGAACATCGAAGCAGACGAACATCGAAGCAGGCGAACATCGAAGCAGACGAACATCGAAGCAGACAAACATCGAAGCAGACGAACATCGCGCATTAAACATCGAAGAGACGAACATCGAAGCAGACGAACATCGACGAGCGAACATCGAAGCGACGAACATCGAAGCAGACGAACATTCGAAGCAGACGAACATCGAAGCAGACGGACATCGAAGCAGGCGAACATTGAAGCAGGCGAACATCGAAGCAGACGAACATCGAGGCAGATGAACATCGAAGCAGACGAACATCGAACAGACGAACATCGAGGCAGACGAAGCAGACGAACATCGAAGCAGACAAACATCGAAGCAGGCGAACATCGAAGCAGACGGACATCGAAACAGACGAACATCGAAGCAGACGAACATCGAAGAAGCGGCGAACATCGAACGGGCAGGCGATCGAACAGGCGAACATTGAAGCAGGCGAACATTCGAAGCAGACGAACATCGAAGCAGACGAACATCGAAGCACGAACATCGAAGCAGGCGAACATCGAAGCAGACGAACATCGAAGCAGGCGAACATTGAAGCAGGCGAACATCGAAGCAGACGAACATCGAACCCGAACATCAAACAGCCGAACATCAGACGGAACCAGACATCAGCCGAACAGACGAACATCAGAAGCAGACGAACATCGAAGCAGACGAACATCGAGGCAGACGAACATCGAAGCAGACGAACATCGAAGCAGACGAACATCGAAGCAGACGAACATCGAAGCAGACGAACATCGAAGCAGACGAACATCGAAGCAGACGAACATCGAAGCAAACGAACATCGAGGCAGACGAACATCGAAGCAGACGAACATCGAAGCAGACGAACATAAAAGCAGACTAAACATAGCTAAATATAACACCCAGGTCATAACATCTTGAGAAAAAAATATCAATATTCTTGGCTTCCATCTTGGAGTAACGGTCATTAAACTCTCCTCAGAGCCAAAATTTTATTATCATCTGAGAATCACCTGAAGTGTTTTTTTTCCCTCTTGTATCTGTGATGGAACTTTTTTCCCTCAGAATTTTCCCTTCAGTGGTGTTCTCAGACGGGTGTTTATCGTTATTATAATTTTCTTTAAGTTATTTTCTTATTATCTTTAAAAAAAAATACCGTGTTAAATTTTCACTCAAATCTCAAAACCTTAAAAAAATTTACGATTTTTTGCCTTATTATAAAAAATTCCCTTCAGTTACATTATTATTTCCCTTACCAATGTTGATGATCGGATCTTAGGGTGAGGCCAGAATGTATATAATGTATAATAAATAAGCAAAGATCTCACGAGGAAAGTTTGACTTGGGAGGAAATTGTGGAGAAGAAGAAGTTGGCAGCGGTAAGCAGCCACAAGTGGGTTAGCGGCGCCAACTTGTACCAGATTATTATCATCCTTAACCTGTGCTTGTCCCCCCCTCTCTCTCCCTCCCTCATTCTCTCTCTCCCTCATTCCCTCTCTCCTTCCTCTCCCTCATCTTTCTTCTTCCCTCCATCCTACCACCGTCTACTTCCCTCCCTCCTTCCCTCCCTCGGCAACTGATGCTGCTGTCACAAGTTTCCTTCTGGTGGAGGTGCGTCGAGCGAAGTTGTGACGGTGTGTGTGTGTGTGTGTGTGTGTGTGTGTGTGTGTGTGTGTGTGTGTGTGTGTGTGTGTGTGTCTGGTCTTGAGGCTCTCCCACAGTTTAAAGTAAAGAAATATCAGAATAATTTTGCTAGTTGTATAAGTGATCCCAGCAGACAGTAAGTGACAGGATGTAAGTGTGACAGTGGGAGTCTGTCTTTCTGTCTATTTCAACCATTTACTTCCGTCATTACGTAATTTAATAGAAGGAAAATTATGACGGTGTGACAGTCAATCAGTTTCCGTCACTTTATTCCGTATTTTACGTCCAAAAAACAAGGAACACTGTCAACGTGGGGTTATCTGTCTATTATCTGTCTATTATCTGTCTCACTTGTTCCATATAACCTCTATAACAACACAGAGCCTATACCTTGGTGATGACGTTGTGAGATACTGTACCTTTGTTTCCTTTCAATAATTCTTTCTCATCAATTCCACACAGACACACAAGTTTCCTCACTGTTGGAGCTCTAGTGTGGTGGTAGTGGTGGTGGTGATGGTGATGATGATAATGGTGGTGGTGGTGTTGGTGATAATAAATAAGTAGATTAGAACCCAAAACAACACTACATTATAATAAGAACCAGTATCAGGGCAGAGTCTAGCACCACACACACACACGCACACACATAAAAATGAACACAAGTACACCTGTCAGGACTTAATTACCTTACTCTACACCTCGCTACCTCTGATACCTGGAATCTTACAGACGATCACAATCAGTAGCAAGGCCGCCATGTTGTTCCCGCCGCGGTTCTTGTGGCTGAGTAAAGTTAGAGACGAGGCCTTTGCTCCTCCTGCCTCTCACTCGTCTCATTATAACTCTCCCACTGGCTAAGATACAGACGATAATACACCTAACTTGGTTTTCTTGGAGCTGCTTTGTTGTCGATGTTTGATAGTTGGTGATGGTGTGTGTGTGTGTGGGGTGATAGTGTGTGTGTGTGTGGGGTGATGGTGTGTGTGTGTGTGTGGGGTGATGTGTGTGTGTGTGTGTGGTGTGTGTGTGTGTGGTGATGGTGTGTGTGTGTGGGGTGATGGTGTGTGTGTGTGTGTGGGGTGATGGTGGTGTGTGTGTGTGTGGGGTGATGGTGTGTGTGTGTGTGTGTGGGTGATGGTGTGTGTGTGTGTGGGTGATGGTGTGTGTGTGTGTGTGTGGGGTGATGGTGTGTGTGTGTGTGTGGGGTGATGGTGTGTGTGTGTGGGGTGATGGTGTGTGTGTGTGGGGGTGATGGTGTGTGTGTGTGTGTGGGGTGATGGTGTGTGTGTGTGTGGGGTGATGGTGTGTGTGTGTGTGTGTGGTGTGTGATGGTGTGTGTGTGTGTGTGGTGTGTGTGTGTGTGGGGTGATGGTGTGTGTGTGGGTGATGGTGTGTGTGTGTGTGTGGGGTGATGGTGTGTGTGTGTGATGGTGTGTGTGGGGTGATGGTGTGTGTGTGTGTGGGGTGATGGTGGTGTGTGTGTGGGGTGGTGTGTGTGTGTGTGGGGTGTGGGGTGTGTGTGTGTGTGTGGGTGATGGTGTGTGTGTGTGTGTGGGGTGATGGTGTGTGTGTGGGGTGATGGTGGTGTGTGTGTGGTGTGTGTGTGGGGTGATGGTGGTGTGTGTGTGGGGTGGTGTGTGTGTGTGGGTGATGGTGGTGTGTGTGGGGTGATGGTGGTGTGTGTGTGTTGGGTGATGGTGTGTGTGGGGGTGATGTGTGTGTGTGTGGGGTGATGGTGGTGGTGTGTGGGTGTGGTGTGTGTGTGTGTGTGGGGTGATGGTGTGTGTGTGTGGGGTTATGGTGGGTGGTGTGGGGTGGTGGTGTGTGGGGTGATGGTGTGTGTGTGTGTGGGGGGTGATGGTGGTGTGTGTTGGGTGATGGTGTGTGTGTGTGTGTGTGATGGTGTGTGTGTGTGGTGGGTGTGTGTGTGTGGGGTGATGGTGGTGTGTGTGGGGTGATGGTGTGTGTGTGTGTGGTGTGTGATGGGTGTGTGTGTGGGGTGATGGTGGTGGTGTGCTGGTGATGGTGGCGTGTTGTTGGTGGTGTGCTGGTGACAATGGTGGCAGCATGGTGATGGCATGGTAGAGCGATGGTAGCGGCGGCTTACTGTACAGCCATCCATCACACAACCCCCATGACCGTAAACTCTATTTCAAACGGTTAACTAAATGATCACAGTTGGTAATAACAGCGAGCGAGTCTACGTGAGCCATACTCCCTCTCACCCTCTCTCCCTCTCACCCTCTCTCCCTCTCTCTCACCCTCCCTCTCTCCTACCTTCTCCTCCGCATCCCACCCCTATCCCCACTCCCTATCTCCCTCTTTCTCTCCCCGACTCCCACTCTCTCCCCTCATACTCCCCTCCCCTCCCACACCCCCTCCACCGCCCTCTCCCCCTTCCCCACCCTCCCTCTCACCTTCCCTCTCCCTGCTGTCATCATTATAACCCAAAATTAAGAAAGTTACAGGCGATAATGGGAAGTAAGTTACAACATGACCGTCTTTTATATCCGTGTGTGTGTGTGTGTGTGTGTGTGTGTGTGTGTGTGTGTGTGAATTTATGTATGTGTGTCTATATGTGTCTGTGTATCTATATGTATGTATGTATTTTATGTATGTATGTATGTATGTATGTATGTATGTATGTATGTATGTATGTCCTTGCATCTAACTTTACCAATCACAACTCGGACTAACACACTTACAACTGGTAATGGACAATGATACGCTATATCCCCCTCTGATCAAAACGCTAAAATCATAAAGTCAAATAGGATATATCTTGTACTGTCCGGCAGGGTGTGTGGAGGACGCTGGTCTGGTCTCCATCGCCCTGGTCTCCATCCATCTGGACTCCATCGGTCTGGTATCCATCTGGTCTCCATCTATCTAGTCTCCATCCATCTGGTCTCCATGCACACTCGACACACGGGGAAAACGTCATTTAGTAGCAGGTCAAAAATGTATGAACGCGTCAGGGCGATGTCTATGTTCCGCTAAATCAAATGATCGTCAAAGAAGAGCTTGGCAGTGAATTGAAAACTTTTAATAGGTGGAAATGTTTAATAGAAAAATGATGGTATTTTGTGGGGGAGTGGGGGGAGGAAGAGGAGGGGAGGGGGGGGGGAAGACGAGGAAGGAGGGGTAGGAGAGGGAGGAGGGGAGGGAAGAAGAGGAAAGGAAGGGTGGATTGAGGGAGGAGGGAGGAAACATGGACAAAACATCACCTCCCACTACCCAACATCCTCCCCTCCCACTACCCAATCACCCCTCCCACTACCCACCACCACCCAAACAACACCCCCTCCCCCCCCACACACACAAGGCCCTATATCACCTAACCATCAATAGTCAATTTCGTGTTATTTCCAGGCGAGGAGATGAAGAAAAAAAAATATATAGTATATAACGTTACCGGATCTGAGAGCGGCGGGAGAAGTGGTGA